TGTCGGAAGCAGCATAGAAATCACTCGGGTAGAATGGCTATGGGGGCCAGCCACGCTGCAGTGGGAGAGAGTACCTGCAGCAGGGACTGTGTCCAGCAGCGCCCAAAGCAGTCACTGCCTGGCCCTCTGCAGAGCAAGCATGGTGCCCCTGAGCTGTGCACCTGTTCTGGGGAAGGACCCGATGTACAGTTAGCCTCGTGGGTTTGGGTTTGCAGTTGGGCAAGACTTGCGGGTTAGCCATCTAAATGTGGTACTCCACAGGAACCCAGAGCTAGTTGAGTCTTAAATGGGTAGGAGAAGGTTCCCCAGAAATCCTTCATGAAAGTGAAGGTGTGGTGTGAGCCACCATGGGCTGCAGGGACCTCCGTGCTCCCATACCACACTCTTCAGCTTGGTTGGGGGCTACTCTTGCCTAGTGTATCAGCGAGTGCTTGTGGAATGACTGAAAATAACCATAAATATCCATGGATGTAGGCTGCTCACTTGATAAATTATGGAAGAGGAGGTTTTGAATAAACACCACCAAGAATACGAGGTTGAGTAGTTGGGGGACAAACCCTCAGAATGATTTGCCTTTTTACTAAGCCTTTCCCTGGAATGCTGCTCTGTAGTTTGAAAGGTCAACGGGCACTTTGGGCTGAGCGAGCGCTCAGTCAACAGGAACTTGGGGAGACTTCGTGTGAAATTGCAGTAGCAAAATTTAAAGGACATCTTGTGTTTCAAATTTGAAGTTTGCTCTGGAGACTGAGTGGCTGAGCTACTTCTAGGACTGGCTATGTTTCTTGGAAATAGCCAATGTAGCAGACACTTGAATCGCTTGGCTATATGACGCACACAGTGATCATAAGCATGGGTTATTCTGGGTTGCCTGTATATCTTTAGGGAATGGGGTGGGGACAGGTGATGTTCTACAGTGACCATAGGAGAATCTAAGAGCAGAATGCAGTCCAACTCCAGGTGCATGCTGGGTGTCCGCAGCATGCTCAGACGTACCAGGTGGACATTGGGCATCCAGGCCTGCCCCCCCACCCCACCCCCAGAGTTGCAACTGTCCATGTAAGTGCTTGCCTGCTGCTCTGTAACGGGGGTAAAGCCCCAAAGGGTTTCGGTTACTTTGTCCATCTGCCTGACCACAAAATCTCCTTGTTTCAGAGTTTAAAACGGCATTTACACGCAGCCCCTCCAGACCCCTTTTAATGCTAAACCAAAACATCCTCCGGTGTCGGGTCAGTTTTGCCTTGGAGACCCCTGTGGCACACAGTAGGACTGGGTGCTGTTCGCCGGGTTTTCAGGATTGTATCTTTACAAAAGCAGGTTGCCTGCACTTCCTCAGCGTGGTTCTGCTGTGTGGGTTGAACCACCAACCTTTCAGTTAGTGGACGAATGCAAACCTTATCTCAGGGACAGTGCATACTGCCTGGGAGCGTGTGGAAAATACATAACCCAGAGTTGCTGGCTCATGGATATCACAGGGACTCCTCAGGAGTTTAAAAACCGTGCTTGGTTCCCTCTGCAGCGAGTTTCCATTTTAAGCACCCAAAGTGGAAATATGTGTCCATCTTGCTATTGTAAATCCATTGTTTAAGAGGGGAATAGAGTCCTCTCGTCTGGTCACGGAGAGAATTGTGTCTCTTGGAATATGTGTCAGTTTGGCTGGGCGGGGGTTCTCAGTGAGTTTGGCCGTTACTCTTGAGTGATGTGATTTGGCAGTTATGTAATGATCTCCCGTGATGTGATCTAATAAGTTAATCAGTCGTTGGAAGGCAGCGTTCTTAGTTCTCCATAGTCCTGCTCCGAGGTCAGGGGAGTTTTCCCTGGCTGTGGCCTGAAGCACCCTTTATCTTACACACATTAAGGGAGCGAGAAGCCAGCACGGAGAGGGGCACCCCAGAGCCACCAAGAAGGAAGAGCTGGGAGTAGAACAGTCCTGTGGACTCAGGTCCCTGTGCTGGAAACCGCCTAGACCCAAGGAGATGAGGACTTAGCTGTTCACCTGCGAGCTAGCAGAGCCAGCCTTCCCCTAGAGCTGGCACCTGAATCCAGGCTTCTCAGCCCGAGCGGTGAGAAAGTGCACTTCTGTTGGTTGAAACTGTCCGCTTCCTTGGTATTTCTCTGACAGCCATAGCTGCACGAGAGAACCAGGGTGCCTACTCTTTTTACAGAAAAAGACAAATGCAAACCCATTCAAGTGAACGCTTACCAACACACAAAAAGGCCGTGTGTGTGTGTGTGTGTGTGTGTGTGTGTGTGTGTGTACACATACACACGCACCTATCTTCCCATTGTGTTGCCTCTCTCCCTCCCTTGGTGACTGATGATCAGTCTTTGAAAGACATCAAGAGAGTGAAGGGGCAGGCAGCTTAGTGGGAGGTGCTGGCACCTCCTGGTTCTGGCAGGGTTTATGTCAGGATGCGTGACATCAGGGTACCCCTTAGGCTGATGGCATGGAGAGCACCAAGGATCCACACAGGAGCAACCCTTAGCTGGAAAAAAGGGTCCTAATGAACTTTTCCAAAAGTCTGGAGTTGAATGTCAGACTCAACACGGGGAGCAAAGGAAGGAGAGGCCACTCAGACATCACTGAGGGAGGTCTGCAGGCCACTCACTCGCTGAGCCCCTGTAATAAGGTCTGCGGCCTCTACAGAAAAAGTCGACAGAGCTAGCTCAGGACAATCCTCAGGATGCCCAATCGGCAGCAGAAAGTAGGAGGCACACAGGAAGAAGCCACCAGCGGCCCCCATGACTCCCCTCCCTCCAGAGGAAAAAGATCCCAGGAAGGCCGGGCAGCCTGGTGGGCTGTGACAGTGACCCTGCACTCTGCCTGCTGCTGGTGTCGCTTCCGTCAAGCACTTTGCCCTGAGAGGGCCCTGTCCGCCACGGATGGCTTTTCTCAGACCTGTGCCTGCCTGCGCCCCAGGGTGCCTGCTTTCCTTCAACCAGGGGCTCTCTAGCCTCCTAATGCGGTAAGCCTTTAATGCAGTTCCTCATGTCGCGGTGACCCCAACCATCAAATTATTTCCGTTGCTACTTCCTCACTGTCATTTTGCTACTGTCATGAATTGTCATGTAAATATCTGATGTGCAGGATGTATTTTCATTGTTACAAATCGAACATAATTAAACACAATTAAAGCATAGTGATTGATCATAAAACAATATGTAATTATATATTGTGAAATACTTGTGCTTTCTGATGGTCTTAGGCGACCCCTGTGAAAGGGTCGTTCGACCCCCAAAGGGGTCTTGACCCACAGGTTGAGAACCGCTGCTTTAAACAAAGGATCTTTTCCCCCAAAGGGGTCTCGACCCACAGGTTGAGAACCCCTGCCTTAAACAAAGGATCTTTTCTTTTTCCATGGTGTCATCTTGGATCTGCCTTCACTTGGTGTCTGATTCAAGGTGTTTGAATGTCCACGGCTGTTTTGGCAGGCGGCCCAGTGGCTTAGTGGTTAAGCGTGGGCTTTAACCTCAGGGTCAGCTGCTAGGAGAAAAATGAAGCTGTCTGCTCCCCTTAAGATTTACAGTCTCGGAAAACCACAGGGGTGGCTCTGCTCTGCTCTGCCCTATAGGGCTGCTATGAGCTGAACTTGACCTGCTGGCAGAAAGTTTGGGTTTTGGTCTTCTTGTTTGGCAATGGCTGTGACTTGATTTCTTGAGTCCCTGCTGTTTGTTTTTCTGTTGTACACTTTATGCCCTCCCAAGTGTCTTTCTTTGCCTCTGGGCTCTGTCTTCGGCGTTAAACTCTCTGGGCACATGTCTTGATGCTCTAAGTGGGCTGTTTGCCCAGGAATCCCTAGTGTTGACATCTTCGGGAATTTCTCTCTGGCTAAGCAGATGCCCCAGGAATGTGCGTCCATTCCTGCCTGCAGGGTGGAGAGTTCTGGGAGCCAAGGGTGTGGGTGGGCTTGGGAACAATGTATAAGGCTGAGGGGAGCATGAAGAGTCAGTATAGTTGGACAGGCAGGTGGATCCCACCCAGAGTGCCAGACAGGACCTTCAGCCTCTGTTGCCCGTTGGGGGCAGTCAGAGTGAGACATGGTGGGCATCGGACTGCCATCTCCAGGCCCGAGCCTTCAGACTCCGCCCCTTCGGCTGCTGGTTTAAGACTGCCTGAGCCCCTCCCTCTGCCTCCGTCTACCTTCCAGCTCCACAGTGGCTGCTTTTGCTTCTGTCATTGCGCTCACTCCTATGAGAGTGTGTGTGTGTGTAAGTTGGCAGGTGGGAGTGAAGCACAGGTGTGTCTTTCCCTGCCATCTTGTCCAGAGCGTCACCAGCGAACGTTCTGCCATGGCAACTCACACTTGCTACTGTATCTTCGTGGGTATTTTCTTCAGCGGGGCTGTGGCTGGAAGACAGGACATCCTGGCTGCGGTCCCCAGTCCAGAGGGAAGCAGAGAGAAGCTGGCAGGAAGGGGGTTGCTGTGGATTGAGTTGTGCCCCCTCCCTCCCCCAAAAATAAATGCTGTGAACTCTAACCTCCATGCCTGTGATTATGACCCCGTTGGGAATGGGTGTCTGTTAAATTTATAGGGCAGGATCAGTGGGGGGCATGCAAGGGGATCTTCAAAACATTCATGGGAAAACTCCTCTGTTTTTAAATTCCAGTTTTCTGTGAACTTGTTTGAAACAAGAAAAGGCTCGCTGTCATCAAGTCGATTATGTATGATTTAAGGTGACTGTAGGGCAGGGTAGAACTGCCCCTATGTGTTTCCAAAGCTAGCTCCTTGCAGGTGTGAAAGCCTCTTCTTTCTCTTGGTGGTTTCGAACTATTGACCTCAGTTAGCATCCCAATATGTAAACCAGTACACCTCCAGGGCTCCTTGTTGAAGCCCCCTCATGTTTTAAATCCATTGAGAGAGAGAGAAGAGGAGAGAGACTAAATGTCTGCTGGTGCCACTGCCACCACCCACTGGTGGTTCTGTGATGGCAGCACCAACACTGAGATGGAGAGGGGAGACCCAGCGGCATCATGGACATGTGTGGTCTTTTCTTGTCAGGTTCTTGGTGACAACAATGGACAGAGGAACGAGGCACCAGGAGGGTTTGTAAAGGGTCCTTCGTGTGATCACAGACTTCGAATGGCCTTCTGAACTGTGAGTATAATTCTCTGGCTACACTGGTGTCTTGCTTTGTTTTGTATGGTATCTTACCCTGCCTTTAGGGTGTTTCGGACACAAGTAGAGGGATGTGTATGTTGCTCTGTACATACTCTGTAGGTCTGTGCATCCACCTTCGGTGAGGTAGGCAGGCAGAATCACAACACCCATCTAATGGGTACAGCAGTGCCAAGCCCATCAAATACGCTGTGACTCCTGTGACTGATCAGAACCTCACAGTGGTTCACAGCAAGGGTGACTATTTGCTGAATCCTATGTTTGGTAGACTGAGGCAGGCACCCTGGGACACTGTGGGTCCGTCTCACATCAGACTGTGTGTTCTCGTGGACTCTGGATTAGGTAGGGGCTCAGCTCCCCACAGAACCCTCAGCCTATGACTAACCCTCCCACAGAGGGGATCGCGGTGGGGCCTAGGAGATGGAGTTGTCAACGAGGGTGCAGGGCCTCTGTTCCGTGAATGTGCTTGGGGTCTGGCCTGCTGTCTGCACCTTTCACTGTCTGCTCACAGCATCATGAAGGGACCTCTTTCAAATTTCCCATTTGTGATTTGAGAATGATGGATGAGATAAGTCCACACCATCCAGACTATCCTTTATGGTCAATCAGCAACTCTGTAGACATTTACCTAAGGAACCTCTGCCCAGAACAAAGCTCAGGAGGCAGGGAAGTGGCAGTATGTTAACCTGGATTCTCTAGAAAAACACAAAAACTTTATATATGTCTATAATTTTTATCAAGAAAATGGCGTCTACAGTTGTGGAAGCTTGTAAATCCAGTTCAGTCCAGTTCCAGGTATATGGGTCAGATGTTGAGCTGGAGGTTTCTCCTGACTTGAATAGCTATGGGGGCTGAGGACCCAAGATAGGCAAGAATGCCACAGACCGGTGACTGTGGGGGTGGGGTGTGTATGTGTGTATGTGCGTGAAGTTAACAGGTCAGGCTGTGACTGGAGAGGTGAATGCATACAAGGTTGGCAGGCAGCATGGCCGCTTACTGGCCGTGTCCACAGACCCAGATACCGGTGAGCCAAATGCAGTATCCATGCCCAGCAAAAAAAGCAGTGAACTTTCCAACAGCTTCCACTTATATAGTACACCCCACCTTGACCCCAGCTGTTCTTTTGTACCAGAGCTGGGACCTTCCTCAGGACGTTGCATTCCCCCCTCATCTTCTTCCAACTGTTTTCATTACCCAACAGCAGATCCCACCTTGGAGGGAATGACTTTGTGTTAAGTCACCTCTTGGGGGCGTTACTAAGTCTTAGCTGCCAAGTCTCTGAGAACCTGCCCAGCCAGGTTGGTAGGAAAGAAGGCTCAGAGGGAGCCAGAGCCAGGGGAGTGGGAAGTGCTGTAACTCTGAGGGATGGCGTCCAGTGCCAGGGAGCACTGGAGATGCACACTGCTGAGCTGATTGCTGAGATGAAGGTGCTCTGTCAACTTTCTGCCAAGCCACAGTACAAAGCTTAAAACAAACAAACAAAAAACTAGCACATTAACGTGGTAATAGAAAGGGAAAATTTCCAAGGCTTCTTGACTTCTAATTCCAGAGATTAAAGCTTATTTAATTTAGGCTTTGGGGAAAGCCCAGGTGCTACCCTGTTTCCCAGAAAGTAAGGCATTCCCCGAAAATAAGACCTACTTACAGTTTTGCTCCTCGCTGAAATATAAGGCACCCCTGAAAATAAGCCCCTCCCAAGCTATCGTAACTCTGGACTCTGGACCATAGCAGTGGGCGCCGGGCAGCTCACTGTTGGCCGCAGTGCAGTCAGAGCAGACAGAAAGTGTGAGGTCTCTTTTAATAAAACAATAAACAGTAAATGTGTACTGTATTCTTCTTCATGGAACAATAACACATCCCCTGAAATTAAGACCTAGCGCATCTTTGGGAGCAAAAATTAATATAAGACACTGTCTTATTTTCGGGGATACAGGGTAGCTGTGCTCCTGTTTTGTTGGGAGGGAAATAACGCCACCTATGGAGCGGCCAGTCCGCTGGTTTTCCTGACCCTTCCTTTTAAGTGTGTCAACCATGTTAAAATGCATCAACTCGATTTCTGCAAAGCATGCCTCCTAATTCTGAGCCATTGTGGTTTTGGCTTCTACTGAGGCTAGAGTGTGGCTTTAGATACTTGTAGAAACAGGGCATTCTGGATTCTAGAAGCAAGGGCAGCTCGGTTTCATTCTGACACAGTAAGGGAGGGGTAGAAGATTGTTTTCTCTGCCTTAGCGGTTCTTAGATTTTTTTTTTTTTTTTTTTTAGGGAGGCAGATGGGGATACACGGGTGGTTGGAGAGGTGGCTGACTTATCTTTTTTGGTTTACACCTCATGAATTCACAGTGCCATAAGAGACAGGTTTTTTCTTTGACATTTTTTCAATAACGATTTCAATTTTTAAAAGTCTGATAAACCTTGAGAATTTCATACTGGATGAAACAAGTCAGTCGGAAAAGGTCAGGCACTCGTGAGTTCCCTTATCTGAAATAAAAAATCACCTGGACATCAAAGGTGATTGTGGGTTCCAAGGGCTTGGGGCAGGCAAGGGCCCAGGGGCACATCGAGGCTGTGTTTGAAATGGCAGTGGAGGATGGCTACGCAGCCACAGCAGGAGGAATATCATGGAATCAGGCCCATCAGTCTTGTCAAGATGGCGAATGCTTTGTGCACCCTCCTCTGTTCACCACAGTGGTTGGTTGGTTTTTTAAGCCCAACAGTTGGAGCAAGTACGTCAGTCATTTGATGCGTGTACAACACAGGAAGGTGCTTACCACCTTATGTCATTGGGAACTCCAGCGAGAACCACAGTGAATCATGTTACAACGCTACGAGAGTGGCTCAGGTGAAAACAAGTAGCGTGGGTACTAAGTACCCACTTAGTAGAACTCGCATACCTTGTTCTTGGAAAGCAGCCTGGCAGTTTCCTAGAAAGTTCATCACGTGCGCATCCAAACCAACAGCCTTGCTTCAAAGAATGGAAAAAACACACAGCCACTGTATCAGAAAAAACTCGTCCACATTCAGCATTTAAGAGGTAGCATGTGTTCCAGACCAGTAGTACTAGAGGAGTAAGTTCAAACTGCAACGAAAGCATTCGTTACACACAGGCTACAGGGATTGATGGCATACCAATTGAAATGTTTCAACAAGATAATGAAGCCCTGGAAGCCCTTACTCGTCTATGCCAAGAATTTTGGAAGACAACTTCTTGGCCAACTGACTGGAAAAGATCCATGTTTGTGCCCATTCCAAAGATCAAGAATTGTAGCCCTTTAAAGTTAAACAGGTGGCCATTTAGCAGGGAAACAACAAAGCCCACAGGGAATAAGCACACCAATCCGTGTGATCACAAAGAGGATCAGGTATCAGGCATCAGAAGACCCAAAACAAACAACAATTTTGAGGTGAACGAGGGGGATCCGAATGGAGACCCAAAGCCCATCTGTAGACAGTTGCACATGCTCTCACAGAAGGGTCACAAGGAAGGGATGAGCCAGCCCGGGTGCAGTATAGTACCAATGAAACACACAGCATTCCTCTAGTTCTTTAACGCTTCCTTCCCACCACTGTCAAGACCCCAGTTCTGTCTTACAAATCCGCTAGACCAGATTTGATACAGATAAGAGCTCTCGACACACGGAATCCAGAACAGATGAACCCCTGAGGACCAATAATGAGAGTAGGGATACCATGAGGGTAGGGGGAGAAAGGGGAAACAAACCGATTGCAATAATCGGCATACAACCCCACCCCCGAGGATGAACAACCGAAATGTGTGGGTGAAGGGAGACAGTGGACGGTGTAAAATATGAAAATAAAAGTAATTTATAAATTATCAAGGGCTAGGGACGGAGGGTGGGAGAAAAAGAGCTGATACTACGGGCTTAAGGAGAAAGAAAATGTTTTGGAAATGATGACAACATGTACAAATGTGCTTGGCACAATGGTTGTATGGATTGTGTTAAGAGCTATAAGAGCCCCCAATAAAATGATTTATTAAAATTAAATAAAAAACAAAAGGGAAAAGAAGAAAGGATTTTAGCCTTCAGTGTGGATCACGGGCCAGTGTAAAGAGACCGACACCCTCACAACTAGAGCAGCGGTGACATCACGTAGAGGGGTCCACAGTGTGCTCATGGGAGCAGCACCCAAGAGATGGAACCATACAGTGTATTGGCTAAATCTGTCGCACAAGCCCTCTTTCAAGTGTTGGGAGCAGGGTGTTTCTCTGAGCACTTAGGTGTGCCTGACCCATTGTTGTTCGGTGCAGCACAGCAGATCCCGCCTCAGCAGCCCTACGCCCAGCAGGAGACACTGCCTGGTCCTGTGCCATCCCCCACTGGTGCTTAAGGACCACCCAGAGAACCAGTAACACCGTCTTAGAAGAAATACAGCCGAGAGACTCCTTAGAGGCAAGGGTGACTAGACTGTCTTGTGCGCTTTGGGCAGTTTCGTCAGGACAGACCATCCCTGGAGAAGGACATCGTGCTTGGTACAGTAGAGGGCAGCAACAAAAGGAGACCCCTGACAAGATTCCGACATAGTGGCTACAAGATGGGGCTCAAACTCAGAACCATTGTGAACACGACGTGGGGCAGACAGGACAGAGTCCAACTCGACAGCACCGAGCAACAGCGTTGTTGGTGATGGAAAAATGCTCTTCAGCACCACTCCGTGGCCTTTTTCTCAGCTGCACAGGTTGCCATTGCCCTGAAAGTTGATTCCTAATAAGCCCCATGATCTGTGTGCTTTGAGAAAATAATACCAAGATTATCCCTTTGGAACCCCCAACAGTGGCCAATACCTTCTGAGCTGACCTCTCTGCCTTGCATTGATCTGGCCCAGCAGATCCCTTGGAAAGCCACTACTTGGATGGGGCCTTATTTTTAAAGGCACCCGAGTGAGACCAAGACAAGTGTTTGAGAGGATTTGCAGCCGTCTGAGGAGCGAAGAGACCTGCGAACACGTTTGCAAGCAGGATA